CCTACCAGGCCTCCCACACCCACCTCACCACCAATTTGGATCACTTGTTGTTCCCTTGTCCCTGGGTTTGTTAACACCACTTCCTTTGGGTGGGAGGATTTTGTGCACACATCAAGAGGCAGCTGTAAGAACAGAACCAGGCAAACTGCATGGTTTAAAATCAGAGAAGGTGTGCATTAAGGTTGCACCTTCTCACCATACTTGTCCAATCTATACGCTGAGCAAATCACCAGAAAAGCTGAATTATATGAAGAAGAGTGTGGCATCAGGATGGAAGGAAGGCTTATTAACAACCTGCAGTATGCAGATGACACAACCTTGTTGAAAGTGAAGAGGACTTGAAGCACTTGCTGATGAAGAGCAGGGATAGTAACCTTCAGTTTGTATTACAACTCAATGTAAGATGTGAGAAACTAACACTGAGGGAAATAGGACTAGGGCTATATTCCCAACTTATAACAGAGGGTATCTGGAAAGCCAGTATTCCACAGTAGGAAAGCCACCACGTTGGTAAGTTAGAGATAAAGTCCAAGTACATTATCCTGCTTTAAATCTCATTCCCACAGTTTCTCCCCTAACAGCTGTACTGCCTGAAAGTGAGCACATGATTGGTTTTATCTCCCTATAGAAGCAGACATCCTTTTGCTATCTCCTCCTGCTGGGCCCCCCAGCCCCCTCATACCTTCCCCCAATGGAGGTATTAGGTTTCCTGACCTGTGAGCTCAGGGACCTTACTGCAGTTACCACCCACCTTGTGACTGAACATGTGTGTCTTATGGCTACCTATAAATATCCCAAGTTAGTAAAGATGCCCTCCCTCTCTCTCCTCCCACCGCCACATGGACCACTAAGAGGGCTGAGGTGAGCATAGTGCCATAAAATGTGTCTCATTGACTTTACTATGATCTTTATATATTATAACCATACAATCGTGCCTACTGACCCTTCAGTTGTTAGAGGCTGGATTCCTCTGACAGTAAGGGATACCAAAATTCTCACAACTGGACTAAGAGGTAGCATCATGCTAAATGGAGAAAAGGTTGAAGGTGTCAAGGATTTTGTCTTACTTGGATTCACAATCAATGCTCATGGAGTCAAGAGCTCAAAAGGCCTATGGTATTAGGTTAATATGTTGCACAATACCTCTTTAGAATATTCAAGAGCAAAAGCAAGGATGTTACTTTGAGAACTAAAGTGTGCTTGACCCAAGTGATGGTATTCTCCATTGCATCACATTCATGTGAAAGTTGAACATAGAATAAGGAAGACTTAGAAAAGTAGATGCACTCTAATTGTGGTACTCAAGAAGAATATTGAAAGTACTATGGATTGCTAAAAGGACAAACTTCTTAGAGGCAAGGATGGCAAGACTTCGTCTTATGTACTTTGGACATATTGTCAGGAGAGACCGGTCTCTGGAGAAGTTGATTATTTTGTATGGCGTGAGAATGATGTTGTAAATATTCAAATGGATCTTGGCAGGGAAAAAAAAAGGTCCCCTTCCTCGGTCTAGTGGGGGGACCTGCCAAATAGACTGAAACTCTGCTGTCTTCTCTGAGCATGCCTGGCGACGCACTGACCTTCTAGTGTCTATGCCTCCTCTTTTATACAACCAGCTACCATTGAGTCGTGTCTGACTCATAGCAGCCCTATAGAACCCTAAGGTTTCAGAGGCTGTCAATCTGTACAGGTGCAGACAGCTGAAGCTTAATGCCTTATGGCTGTTAGTGGACTGGCCCTTGTGGATAGGAGCCCAGCAGTTAACCCACTACCCCCCCAGGACTCATCTCTTATATATTCTATATAAACTATTGTTGTTTTCAAACTATGACATCGCTTCAGTCCTTCAGAGTCCAATAGAATTGATGTGGTACTTTTTCTTTAACATAATAAAATTTCTATCTTGCCTCCCCTAAAAACACTTGTTACCTGAATTGAACTTGGGTATTTTCCTTACATTCCTTCCATAGCATGACTCCAATTGAGCGATTTTCCAAGAGTCACACAGCTAGTAATAATGGGAAAAGTAGAACTCAAAACACAAGTCTCTGTTCATAATTGTTTTATGTCAAGGCTCTCAAATACATTGTGGCCCTGGAGAGGGAGCCTAGTACAGTGGTTAAAAGCTTGAGCTTGGATGTCTAAAAGATCTGGGTTGACATGCTACACCTATACTTCCTAGATTGATGTTCTGAAACAAGTTACTTTCTCTCTGCACCTCAGTTTCCACTTCTAGCGTATGGGCTTTGTAGCAGTAGGTATTCTATGAGAGTTTTGTGAGAATAAAACGTGCTAATACATGAAAGGTTCTTTCTGCATAGGTACGTTACAACAGCTAAGTATAGGGTAAACTTTTTCTGATACTATTTCTTCCTCCTTTTTCCTATTCCTATTCTATGTCTACTGTTTACTTCTTTATTTCCTTCTACTACTACCACGATGACAAGGGCAGAGTGCAGGATGACTGGATGAGATCAGCATCAGATGCAAGTTGTGTAGCTAGGATGTTTGAGGTAATGTAGCCTTGTTTGAGCCCCACCCTTCAGCCTCTCACGGTCTCGGATAGCACTTTTCTGGCATACAATATACCTATGTTCTCTGTATGTATTTAAACGCCATGTCCTGGCCAGAGGCTGATCCGTTTTCACTCAGTCTTGAATATGGTGGGAATTATTCTGCCATACTTGATCTCAAACTCTGCACAGAAGGCTAAGACCTAACGGGAAGTTTGCTGTCATTTTAGATTTTTACCAATGATACAGAAATTGCTTGTTATGCTTCTGATTTATATCATTCTAGAGTAGTTTTCCTGGATAAAGAAAATATGCAATTACAGGAAAACAGGATCCGGCTCACACACCAAGTCAGCCTTTTAGAACACGTTATAAGAAGTATCCAGAGCCAAGGAGGAGAGGTAAGATGTTTGATTCCTATCAGGTCCTTATTCTGGACTTTGGCCAGCCAAGGTTGCTGTGCTCTCTGCTCTTTGCCTTCTTTAGGCAGCTCGAACCCTGCTCTTGCGTAGTGGTCTAAGGCAGTGAGGCGCGTCCGTTGCTCACCAGGGCAGCAGACCGGGAGACTGCTGTTGGCCAGTTTTCCTCTCCTCTGGGCCAACTGTTATTCAAGACTCCTCTGCGAGGTGGCTGCATCGGTGGGCTCAAGCACAGGAACAATTGTGAGGATGGCACAGGACCGGGCGGTGTGAAGTTCTGTTGTACAGAGGATTGCGGAGAGGCGGAACCAACCTGAGAGCACCCAACAACAACATGTGATGCCAAAGAGATTCCTAAGTGCCTCAGAGCTTCTCCCTTAACAGCTACATTGTCATTGTCCTTTGACTTCTCTGTCTCATCAACTAAGCCGTGAGCCCTTACATAGCAAGGATTATCGCTCATGAAAATGTTGCATACATATGTGAGAATGGGTCAATGGCACGTGGTTTCCTGTGTATGTCTCATTCTCAGCGATCCAGGTAGACCCGTATTCTCTTAGTTATCTAGCACTGCTCTAAAATACCACAAATGGATGGTTCTAACAAACAAATTTAATTTTTCACAGTTTAAGAATCTAAGGAGTTTGAGCTTGCATTTAATTCTAGCCCCAATCTAAGAACAATTACTTCTTATGACATGGCCTGCTGGATGTTCCCCCACATGAAGAAATTCCTGAAGATATGAGTGCTACAGCAAAGTGTGGTGAAGAAACTAGATGGTGCCTGGCTATCAGAAGGAAATTCAGAGCATCAGCTTTCAGGGAGAGCAGGTTTTCATTTTCTTTCTCTCTCTCTCTCTCTTTCTCATTCCGTCTCTCTGTCACTCTGGGATATGGCCTTTGTCTCTTTCCAGCTTCTATTCCTAGGTTCCTTGGCGGCAATGTGGCATAAAACTTTCTTCCTATTTATGCTTGCTTTCTCGGTCATTCTTTTGTACTAAAGAGATATTGACTTAAAACACACTACAGTAATACTGTTATTTAGCATAACAAATACAGCCCATTCCCAAATGGGATTATAGCTAAAGATAAAGGAGTGAAGGTTTATAACATGTATTTTGGGGGAGACTCAATTCTGTTTATAAAAGGAGTAGGGACCTTTTTTTCTGCCGAGGGCCAGTTGGATATGTATAACATCATTCTCTGGCCATACTGGTGAGATCTTTAATTAACTCACCCCTAATGTTATGGCAAGAACTGCTTTTCTTTTTTTTTTTTTTTTAAACATTTTATTAGGGGCTCATACAACTGTTATCCCAATCCATACACACATCAATTGTGTAAAGCGTATTTGTACATCATTTCTCAAAACATTTTCTCTTCATTTAAACCCCCGACATTAGGTCCTCATTTTTCCCCTCCCTCCCCGCTCCCCCCTCCCACATGAGCCCTCGATAGTTTATAAATGGGTATTTTGTCATATCTTGCCCTGTCCAACTTCTCCCTTCATCCACTTTTCGGTTGTCTGTCCCCCAGGGAGGAGGTCACACACAGTTCCATGTAATCGGTTCCCTCTTTCCTACCCATTCTCCCTTTACCCTCCCTGTTTTGCCACTCACACCACTGCTTTTCTTTGGTGAGGTGTGACATTAGCTGGCATTGATGGTTTTTTGTTTCTGTTTTTGGTATTGATGATTTAGCAGACTTTATACAGCCTGTGGGCTGAATGTTCCCCACTACTGGTTTATAACATGTATCATCATGTCACCATCTGAGGAGCAAACCTGAGGCTCACAGAGGTAAACCTGGTAATTTTAGAGTAAAGCTAGTCTGGCCTGGCAGGAACCAAGCATAAGGAGAGCATGTAAGTCAAAAGAAAACAGTCATGATTCAAGCAGACTTCCATAGGCCACACCAGAAGAACTCAATGTGGAAACCCTACTAAGTGAGCTGGGCTTACCCTGAAACTCACCTGTCACCCTTGAACTTAAGGCTGTAACTCCGTAGTGTGAGAAGCAGGTGACTGCTATCCCAACAACATAGAACTGATGGTCATCGGACTTTGTTTCAAATCTCTTGCCTTGAGGGAGCCTAATGAACAGTGGTTTGGAACTACCATATAATTACGATTTTAATGATCTCCTGGCTTTATTATGACATGTATTAATCTGGTAGGCCTGGTTCTGCCATTGTTAATGAATATTATTGAAAGATTTTCCCTGTCTTCAATCCCCATTGTTTGTGTAAATAGTGTCCAGTCACCTAAGTGTTTAATCTGTACAAGTCAATAATTCATAGCTGGCCTATACTCATATAATTTCCTTTTCTCAACAGTGTTTTAAATTCTAGATCATTGGCTAAATTAATGACACCATCAATAGAATTACCTTATGCCTCAGCAAATGAGGTCTGTAAGGTGAGCCAGAGATGTATATAAACTATACGTGCATGAATGGATTTTGGGCTCAAACTTAGTTCTAGCCCCAATCTAAGAACAGCTTGTTCTTATGACATGACCTGCTTGATGCTCATCACATGAAGAGATCACTGAAGAGATGAGTGCTATAGCAAAGTGTGGTGAAGAAACTAGATGATGGTGGCTATCAGAAAGCATAGCATCTGAGATCTTAAAAGCTTATCTTCAAACAAGCAGCCATCTAAGCGAGGCATCGACTAAGTCCACAAGGAAGAAGCACCCCAGCCTGTGTGATCCAAGTAAAGTAAATAATAAAATCCAAAGAAGAGAAAAGTATCATAACTTAGATTGTGAACACCTGGTTTGCAAAAGACTGGATGACAGTGGAAGCCCAAAATCCATTTGCAGGGTCTCCACATGGATTAAGCATCTGATGAATCCCCTCTGACCATTGTTGAGGGATGTAGATAGCCTTGTTATCAGACAGCAGTGTAACGTCAATTATGGCAGATGTAGTTAGGTTTAAAAAAATTCAAGCATGGGCGGTGGCTGCAGCTGCGACATGGAGAGCGGGGCCTATGGTGCGGCTAAGGCTGGTGGCTCCTTCGACCTGCATTGCTTCCTGTCGCAGCCGCAGGTGTGGCGCACTCCGCGTGCATGATCTGAACCCTGCAAGACCACCTCCCCTTTGCTCTCATCCTCCCGTGAGAGACCCTTGCTCTGACCACACGCCCCCGTGACCTCCAGATCTTCGCTGTTTGTGTTTGCCTGCATCTTCGGGGAGGGCTACAGCAACAAGCACAGGTCCGAGGAGAGCTACTGCGTCTTCAACCGCAACGAGGACGCCTGTCACTACGGTGCGGCCATCGGCATGCTGGCCTTCCTAGCCTGTGCCTTCCTCTTTGTGGTGGACGTCTACTTCCCCAGTTCAGCAATGCCACTGACCGCAAGTACCTGGTCGTCGGAGACCTGTTCTTCTCAGCTCTCTGGACCTTCCTGTGGTTTGTTGGTTTCTGCTTCCTCACCAACCAGTGGGCAGCCACCAACTCCAAGGATGTGCTGGTGGGCGCAGACTCCCCGCGAGTGGCCATCGCCTTGAGCTTCTTCTCCATCTTCTCTTGGGGCATGCTGGCTTCGCTGGCCTACCAGCGCTACAAGGCCGGAGTGGACGACTTCCTCCAAAACTACGTGGACCCCACGCCCGACCCTGCCACCGTCTACGCCTCCTACCCTGCCGCCTCTGCCGACAATTACCAGCAGCCCCCCTTCACCCAGAACGCAGAGGCCTCCCCCAACGAGTACCAGCCGCCTCTCGTGTACTGACTAATCAGCTGCAGCAATGGTATGGGCACTCACCATCCTGGACATTTCTCTTGCTGGCTGCTGGAGACCCCCTGCCTCCCTGCTGTCTGAGACCTATACGTGGGGAGGGGGCCCCCGGCTGCCCACCCATTCACTCCACAAGGGCATTTTTTAGACAAGGGTTATGAAATGTGGTTGTTTTGGGGTTTTTAGCTCAATATTTTGGGTTGCTTTTGATGTTCCTGCTCCCTTGGGGAGAAGCTGGAAGGACAGTGGCCTCCTCCCTTCCTGCCACCTGACTCACGTGCCTTAGCCCCCAAGTAGCTGAGCCTGAGCCAGCTAATGGTTCTCTGCCAAAGATGGAGGGGGTGCCTCACATGGGGCCTGTCAGCTGGTGCTGTGCTGAGCCTCCAGCCCCTCTCTACTCACTCAGGTTTGCTACCTTAATCCTGTGGATATGGCCCCCCGGGGCTGTGGTCACCACTGCCTTGTCTGCTCGCTTTGGACTTTGGTCACCACCCTGGGAGGAGGGTATAGGCACTGGTACCTACCTTGCCACCCACC